ACCACAAACATTCGGGGCCTAACTATCAGGCTCTAAGCCCAAACTATAAACAAGGCCCATAAACTCTCTCTCTCTGGTCTAAGTTTTCATCTTGTAAGAAGAAGTTGAAGTTGTTGGTGCGATTTAGGGTTTATGGTGGAGCGATTTAGGGTTGAAGTAATCAGTGTAAATTTTAGGGTTTAAACGATGGCGTACAAGGCAAGAAGAAGTAGGTTAAACGATTTACCAGATGAATTGCTCTGTAAGATACTCTCTAATCTCACCACGAAAGATTCAATCCGAAGTAGCGTTTTATCGAAACGATGGAGAAATCTCTGGTTAGAGGTTCCTGTTTTGGATTTGGTCTCGTCTCATTTCGAAGATGATAGTGATTTTGTGCAATTCATAGATAGATTTCTTGATGATGAACATAAGCTAGACATGAAAAGATTCAAGATAATCTATTATTTCGAAGAACTTAACCCATTTGATGATGATAGTTTTTTCTGGTCTTGGATCGATGATTTGGTTAGGCGTAGAATTTGTGATTTAGATGTTAAGATTATCTCTGATGATAGAGAGCTTGTTTCGACCCCTGTATCGCTTTATTCGTGTAACACATTGGTCAATTTGAGTCTCTCTCGCGTAATCTTGTTTGATCCGGGACCCGAAGAATCTGTTGTTGTTTCCTTGCCTTGTGTCAAGGTTATGCATCTAGAGGGGGTAAGGTCTGATAATTTGATCCTCGAGTCGCTAATTTCTGGCTGTCCTGTTCTTGAGAAGTTAACTATAATCAGGGATTCTGAATATGATTTTCTTGAAGTTGTATGTGTTCGGTCTCATTCGCTAAAAATATTCATTTTGGAGACTGACTATGAAGAATATAAAGTCATTAATGATCATGCTTTTGAAATCGATGCTCCAAGGCTCGAGCGTATGAGTCTCTTTGATCATTTATCAGGAAGCTTTAAAATAAATAGTATTGGACCGTCTGCGACTGTAGACATTGATGTCAGCTTTGATGTGGAAGATGGTTATTCATTGAACTT